GGGGGGGGGTGGTAAGCGGGAGAAAAAGCGAGAGGCTGGAAGGCGGCGGCTACGAGAGACGATAAAAACTTAATTGGTCGTAATAAAGTTCAAAGATAAGGATCCGTCCATGAAACAGCGATCACGAGTTCCCGAGAAAGCTGCATTTAATGAGCTTTTATTCATCGCTTTACGGCCGTAGCCTTCCTTTCCTATTTCTCTCTGAATTTTCGCTCTCTACTACTGCTAGTACTACTACAGCTCTTCCTTTTTTTTCAGTCTATTACTAGCTACGACCTTCTCATAGGAGTTACGGCTTCTCTCTTTTTTTTTCCCATCGTGCACTGCACTTTTCCCGACCAGCGATCGCCTGTCGCTCTTACCGGCGAGTAGTTATTGGGTATAATTTTTGTAGTTTCCTTATTACGTAGAAAAGAAAAAAAGAAAGTTGCAACCAACGTCGGAAGACCAAAAGACGAAGTTGCATCAAGAAACGGTATAAGAAGTCTGACGGAACGTATCGAGAGTTTCTTTTATTTTCTTTAATACGAGCATCGGTACTGGGAACTCCTATTCCATTTACTCTAAGAACACGACACCCTGGAGAAAATCCGGAAAGCAGCATTACCGGTTTACTCATTTTTTTCAAGTTTCCACCCGTGCACGTCCCCATCCGCGAGTTTCGCGAGAAAATTTTCTCCCGACAGAATTCTTGAGTGCAATTCGAAGAGCGCGCCGCCTCGGGCGAACCCTGGAATATATTTCAATCCGTTCCCTCCTTGTGGACCAGCCCTATATCCACTGCTCACCTACTCCATCCCCTTTACACTACTACCCTTATACGGATATATACCAAAAAGATCTAACCATCTCTCGAAACCTCGCCCAATTCCGTCAGACTTCTTTTTGCCGGCTGTTGGATTGTCCTGGTTTGCGAGAAGTTTTTCTTGATTGGATTTTCATCGCGACTGCCTGCATAAAACATCCACCCTCTCGTCCCACCACCCACTGTACACCCCTTCTGTTCTCCTTCGATGGCTGCAAATCTCCTATTGTGTCGTACAGATATACCATCCTGCAAGAAAGATACATTTTAGAACACTGTACCTTCTGCTTGTTTGGAAACAAACGATTTTACCTGAAACGTAGGTTTTTATTGGGCAGTCCGTCCCTCATGCAATTCGATGGATACTACAGCCAGGGGCGAAGAAGCCATTGGATTTTTATAACAATGGCGTAAAGTGCAGAAAGAATTGAATTCTCTTGGGAATTGAAATTCATGGGCTCCAACGAAAGTAGGTATTTCCATTCTTTGTCAGACTTGATGATGTACTGTATAGAAAATTAATTTTGATTGATTTCATCAATTCACTATTGCAACTCTGTAGTTTATATTTTAGCCATTAATTCTTCAGCTTCTTCCCCAGTTCAGCTAGTGCGGATAGTAGCGACACATATCAGACCATCCGGAAGGCATTACTGGCTCGGCCGAGTAACAAAGCGGCTCATATGTTAAAATATAACCTCGTAGAAGGGTTTTACAAGAGAAACACATGTGTGTACTCTTGACGATATTGTATAGCCGCGACATAAAAGCCTACGGTGCCGTGTATAACGTCCGGGATCTTCTTTGCGGTGAAAAACAGGACAATGTCTGGAGGATATTGGCAGGGATCCTCGTGCACATAAATTTAAAATATTCCTACGAGTAGAGTCAGTATTATTACCAGGAAATATTTTTTAAAAAATTGTTTTCTTCATTCTTCAACAAAATATTCAGATGGACATTTTTAATGATCCTCAAATTGTACCTGACTAGTGTCCTCCTACTTGTGTAATTTAAATTACTCCCATGTTTTCCTTGTTGTCCTGATCATCTCAACCGATAATTGCCAATGTTCTCGGCAACGTAAAAGGTCCTCGGATCCTTTCCTCGAGTACTAGTGTAAGCCATCCTAGTCATCCAGCCAGCCATCAAGGTAGCCAACATAATGTCAAGTACTGTATAACGTTCCAAGAGAGTAAAGTATACAAGCCGTAAGTGGCGTTTACCGTGACGAGTAGTAGTAGCGTCAGGTAATACTCAGCAGACACTGTGAGAAGAAAATTCAGCCACCACAACATCATTGTGCTCTTGATATACAAGGGAATGTGCTGCTGTCGCTTTAAAGAAAAGAAAAATATTAAGAAAGAGACAAATATTCTTTAGAAGTAAAATACCATGAGTCTTTCTGTATTATACATAATGTGTATATACATATATAGACGTGATAGACATACATGGATAAACACGTGATCGTGATAATAATCGGTATCAATATGGCGGACTTTCTCATTCGCATCGTGGACAGCTTTCAGGATTTTTTTCTCTTGACAGGCACCTGCCAATAACCGACTATCAAGCAGCTCTCGCTGTCAACGAATAGGATCGTATATAGGACGTGCTGATGTCGCCGACAGGATATCCCCAGCCGGGATGCTGTTAGAAAGAAAAAAAATATATTAACAATGGAAAGAAACTGAGGACGTCAAATTGAAGTAATATAGTACGGATAACGCTTAATAATTTTTTTTCAGAGTGTTTTTGAAATTCCTATAAATACCAAAAACTCGACAAGCAATCAACAGACTTCTCTGTATCTGTATATATAATCAAATCACTGTCATTCAGTTTTTCAATGGCGACTATCTACCTTCTGATCGACGTAGCTTATCAGCCGTTCCGCTTTGTGGCCCGAAAAGTTTTCCGGGTTTTTCCGTCGAGACCCTTTTTTTTATCTTCCATCCTCATAGTATTTCCTATTTTTCATAAATCATGTATCCCTCTCTCCACCTCTTATCCACCATGAACAACGTCAGGTGGTCTCACGTGATCGCCATAGAAAATTCTCCACTCCTCGCAGAATGAATAGACAGTATATATGTAGATATATAGACGAGGAGATGTCACACAGGAAGATTGAATTTGAATGTACCTGTATCAGACGACAGATTACACTTTATGGTTAAATTAATAAAATTCAAAAGCCTCCTTTGATAACAGTACATCCCGGCTGTTTAATAATCGTCTGATATTAATTATCAGCCGAATAATATTGTACCCGAGCGTATATCCTTGTTAACAAAGGGAAAATATTTAATTACCGATTACCGGAAGACCAATAATACCACAAACGTACGAGACCGTAGTTGACCGCGCTTAACGTCGATTAATTATAGACAAACGGAAATGATAATGTTTACCCGCAAATTACCAGATAACGCAGTGCAACGTAAAGCATCAGTAGTCATATACAAAATTAAAAGACAGCCATAAAAATAATTATCTTAGAAAACAAAAAATCCACTATAGTCCGTCAAACGATAACAGCTTTTTCATCCGTCAAACGTACCTTACGGTAAAGGCATCAAGAGTTTTATCCGCAAGCCTGAAAAATCGAATTAAACGACACTTTAATCTCGAACATTATAGTTAGACGCGACTAACGGCTGCATAAAAATCTTTGATAAATATTATGAAATATCCCGAACACAAAGGAACGTACCAACTATACGGTACTTGACGTGCAAATAGTACACACGTACGTATAAGCTGTCTCCGTCGATAGTGTCTTTATACTTCAGCTATATAAAGTACATGCGATCACTGTAGCGTCGGGACGCTTACGCGAAACGAACCTAGCGTAGAGAGGCACAAGCTCGACATCGTTCCCCGTGTGGAAATCTCGTTTGCTACGTGGGGCTTTGAAGGTTCACCAGAGTTTCCTCGATGGACGTTGTATAGTAGACTAAGTAGATTTAGTTGCTTTATTTAGCTTGTCGCTCCCTGTCATATTGATCCTAGCTAATATCGAGTCTTGCTCCTGTTAGTGTCTCGTTGTCAGTTCCATGATATCCTGTCGATACGTTTAATAACTGATAAAGTGAATTTTAACCTCAAAATTAATCCGTACACTGTACACGGCCATGATGCTTCTGCTCGCTCGACTAGAGTAGCCCGACGTTGGTTGGCCATTTGTAAATTGTCAAACGAAGTGTGTTTTAAGCCTGGTTAACTTTTTTAAATATAGTTTTAAGATGGGATAAACAGAGTTTAAACTACGATTAACGTCGTAGGAAACGAGGATGTTTTTCGAACTATTAATTCCCGTAGAAAAGTGCCCAGGTCTGCCATTGGCCGAAGCGTAGAAACGCTGTACGTCACGTGACTCGCTGAAAATGTAGATCGAGCGCGAGGACGAGTGTCTGCATTTCAATGGCGTACGAAAGTGGATGTGGACAAGTGTGAGAGACTGTGTGTAATGGCAAGACGTAAAGGGACAGCAGGAAGATGCTGGGAAGTGGAATGTATCAAAGTGAATAAGGATAAACAGAGATAAGAAGAACGGACTAGGTTATAGGCAGGAGAAAATGTACCTGAAGGAATCGAATGGGACGAACGACGTTACAGTTGGTTTTCGTTTACTGCTTGAGTCGTACTGTATGTATATTTGTAGTTTCATACGAGCTGCCTCTCGCGTTATACATAGATACACATAAGCTTGTGACGAATATATAAAGTTAGCCAACACGAGTAAGAACCCGTAAACAGCATATTTTCTGACCCACTAGTGCAAACGTAACGCGATGCGCATATTTGGAATTCAGCATGGCGCATAGCGTCGCGGTGCATCGAATTACCTTATGCGCAGTTCAAACACTACTCTCTTCTTTTCTCTTTCTCTTATGTTTCTTCTTGGCATTACTCACGGCACCGAGCATCTCTCTGAAGCAGCACTCTTTTTCCCCTTATATTTTCTTAGACTCTTTTCTTCCTCTTAAAAGAGTATATCGGTGTGAGTCTCTCTCGGCTCTCTCTCTTGCGCTTTTTCTCTCTGCCATACTTCGCCTCTCATGAGCGACGACGGATCATGCCGGCTTAAGTGAGTTTTCAGCCAAACTCAAAAGGGACGGGAAGTCGTTGCTGTTCGCTATAAAGTCGTCGAGATGGATGTCAGCCTTTATTTTTATTTTTCCAGGTTGGTACTACCGAAGCAAGTGGGCGGAGAGAAGCGTGCTGGGCTGTGGTATATATACGAATCGAGGGCGACAGAAGAGAAAGGGAGTGTGGATATGTAGATTGGCAGGAGAGCCATTTTTTCTCTCTTTCGAAAAGGCTCAACGTTACCTTTCTTTATTTTTTCTCTCCTCTGCCCTGGCCTCTATCTTTCTCCCACGCCAACCGACGCAAAACGCCCCTGCAAAACCCGTCTAAACTTTTCTGACGAGTGCCAGTAATTATATTCTAATTAATTTTCTCCTCACGCACTGCTCTACGTGTTATCCAATCGCTTGGCATCCTCCTTGTTACTACATTATACGGGCTTTGAGCGTAGTAACTTTTTTTCCACGATACATACCAAATCCCTAAACGATTAATACCCCCATGAATTAAAAAAAAAGAAAGAGGAAGACGCAGAAAAAAGATTTGCAAACAGAATATACTAGTGCACGATAACATATATAACCTCGGTCCAATTAAATGGATACTAAATGGGTTAACCATTTACGAGGGTGACCAATTTTATATAAGCTCCACTACATTACCCTTGGGTGTACCTTATGCTATAGGGGTAGTACTGTTTCTTTCCATGAATTTACCATTCAAAATCCTAGCCTGTCCCACAAGTGCAGTACGGTGCACCTGAAAGTAATTGATAAAAAGTTTATCACCATAAAATTCTCTTCCTCAGTTTCTCACCCCATAAAAAGTCCTATATCAATCAACACTCATTAATACTTTCTAATTACCAGTACGATATCCTATAACCATCGTAATACCAAAATTCAAAAATAAATAGGTCAGTTTAAATTTGAAAAAAATTTAAATCACGTCAAGTCAACTTCTGTCGATATAGAAAATGTCTAGGTCGGGTCAGGTCGACCCGACTTCACGGCTTATCGCATTTTACTTTTCCACCAGGAAATCCCAGAGATTCTCGCGCGAGCACTTTGCCCGTGTATCCCTCCGCATATCCACAAGCACACACACGTGATACATATATTTATATGCATACGAGGTAACGCGTACACACAATTTCCGTCGTTATAAATTTAAATAGAAAAATCCCACCGTAATCCTCTCTTTTAATGTTGTCCCTGACATTATTACGCGATATAATATTTTTAACGAACGAATTCACATTGTTACAGGCAAATCCTTCAACTTGAAGAACCAATGTGAAACTTTTCGATAAGAAGTGCCACTACAACACGTTCGACTTTCGGTCTATAGATGCGCGCATTATATATCTGTCCCATCCAACTGAACCTCGTTATGAAGTAATTGGAGGATGAAAAAAAAGAATAACACTACGAACTCAAGTAGCTCTAGTCTGTCTGTAGCTAGTACCGAATGAATACCCTTTGTGAGTGAATACCGTTGGCGTACGTCCGCACCGGATATTGCGAACATACATGGATCCACATGTGGATGGATATACATGGTCGAAACATCGTCCATGCGAATCCTCCATATAAGAGCGAGCCAAACAATCCCGGCTAGTCGACATTTCCAGTACATATTTATCCAGTGCGCGTGTACTACAGACCCAAATTGCTGGAAGGTTGATATATGGTGATGCAGGTGGCGAGGGTGTGATTGGGTGGAGGAAAGGAGGGATGTGACAGTAATATGTATAAATAACAAACAAATATTTCATTTTTCAGTATCGACCAGGAGGAGCGTTGAAGGGATTTGTGTAACCATAGAAGTAATGAGATGTCAATACGTGTATAAGGTACATACATATATATATTTTTAAATAATTTAAAATCATAGAAAAAGTAAAGTATAGAAAAAAGTAAACATATTGGTATATCTGGCTTTGTCAGTGTACCATGTAGAATGTGTGTTACATGGTCAGTGGGGTGGCAGAGAGTGTGGATTTGTTAGAGGGTAATAATTCTTGGATACTTTCAGGAACCCGAAGGACTTTCTTTTCTGCAATTGAAAATTTATAGCGTTCGATGTTTCTGACGTTTTCGTTTCAGGGCTGGAGACAGGTAAAAGTAGCCGGGGGCTAATTCGAGGCAGCATCGGCAATGCGACGCTCAGCACCGCGACGCCTGGTAATGAGGCTTTATTTAAAATATCGAGGTCAGCCGTCAACCTGCTCTTGATGGTTATGTTGGATCCGTTAGATCTGTGAAACATGTGGCAATGGACATGTCGAGGAAACGTAAAGGTAAAAGGGACCAATTGTCAGTGAATCTGAGTGGGGTGGACCAAGGGGAGTGAATCAGGATACAGCTGATGGTGTAAAGGAAAAGGGACGTGTAGGAAGAGCAGCCGGGGTGATAAACGGAAGGTAAAGAGAAATCCGTGGACGGAAGTGGAAGTCTCGTGCGGATGACGTGTCCCGACGTTGTAAGGGGGTTGAAAACTGGCAGAGAGGGTAGGTATAGGTAGTTTCCGAAACGAAAATGGAAAAGAGGCAGAGGAAGCGTCGTCCTGCACGTCTGCAGAAAATCGAGGGTGGGAAAAAGGCGGAATGGGTCGTCGGTTATACAGGGC